TGATTGATTCCACTTTTTTTTTGTTTTACAAATTCCTACTAAATTGAAGATTAAGGAGGCAGATAGATTTTCAGTTTAGTCATCTCAGATGTGTATCTCAAAAAAACCAAGTAGAATTACCTAAGAGCAAAAACATATTTCCCTATTTTGGCCTTTCTTTACAGTATTTACAATAGGTTTTTCTGATATATCTCAAAATCAATAAGGTTTAAGTGAAATCTGCCATAAGAAATGCTTTGCTAGAAACAAAAGAAATAGAAAAAAATAAAACTAAACAAAAGCCCAGAAAAAAAAGGCATCTTCAAAGTTCATCAGAATAAAAGTAGCTTTATGCAGCTATGCTAGATTCATTCTTCTGAAATAATGATTTAGATAACTAATAAACCACATTTAATAAACCACATTTGAAAATCAAAAAGGATTGCACATGTTTAAAACTGCATTAAAGAAAATGCAACATGAGCATATAAGGAAGAATGATTGGACATCTCATAATTTCACATTTTAAAAGTGTCAATATTTTAATATATCCGTGGCAATAGCAAAGATCTTTATAAAAATATCTATACAATAATGAAAGGATTCAATCTTGCTTTATATAGACTAAAGATGAACCTCACTTGTTTACTATCAAGGCAATTTTTACAACAGGTTTTACATCTAGTCACAAGATTAATGAAAAACACATATTTAATATAAGTGTTTCGGTAAACTAACTCTTCCCCCTCTTCCCCCTCTTTTCACATTTTTATGGAAGAGTTTCTTGCTCATGAAACTTTGAATTTCTTTTTCCCCTGTATTTACTTAAGGGCTGTGATTCCATAAATAAAGAACTAATCCAGGACTTCGATGAGTTAATCTAGGACTATTCCAAAAGTAATATATATCAGTGGGTTTGGATCATGGTTACCATGACATTTTTGTTTTCTTTTTTTCAGACTTTCCTTGTCACTAGTGAGACAGGTTAGGACACCTCATGAGACATCAATCAGCCTTCTGTCATCAATGTAACACTGCTCAATTACTCATACCAGTCTCCTCTTGCTGCATAAGTATATTTTCCTCACACTTTTTCATAGCACCATTTAACATAGAACACACACATCATGTTCTATCACACAGCCTTTGCTCTGCATTTGGGATTCCAAGATGGCTGCAGGATGTTGTTGGATAACCATTCTTACAAATTGATGCATGTCCACTTCTTGCAATTGTTCATTTATTTCAGTCTATCATACTCCTGTATATGTGCACTTAGCCAGCTTCTGGGTACAATTAGATGATTAAATCCAAATTAGATAAGTCAGTGTGACAATATGATTGGGCAAAGTGAATGGAACATTGTCAGAAGCATATACCCCTAATCTATGAATGCATCTCATTCCATTGATGTGAACATATAGAGAAGATATGTTTCTTATGTGCACTCTTCAAATTAAAGTAATAAATAAGCAAAGGTGTGCGGAAACAGAGATTTAAATGAGGTTTTGTACATTTAGTAAATTAAAATTACAAAATTATCTCACTTTGTTCTTTCAATTCTATCCATTGAGTACTATGCTGCATTAATTTTTCGTGTCAGGCAAAATTCCAGTTGCTGTTAGCTGAAGTTTAATTATCACCATTTTTTTATGGAAAGGAAGATAATTATAGAAGAGATTTCAAAGCAAACTTGGCATGCTAGGCTACTTTTTATGTGATAGGCCATGCAACCTTGAAATACTTTCATAATATTGGCACTTATCCACTGTTTTGCGTGCTAGTTAATAAATTGCTAATTTGTTTAACTCATCTAGCTTTTATATGTAACTGTTTTATATTTTGTAGCAAATACCACGAAGCATTAAAAATACATCATTATGAATTGCAACTATCCATGTCAGCATTTCAGTGAAGAAAGTTGGGGGGGTGGGTGGGATAAATTATTAATTATTGAGGAGAGATAGTACAGTGTCAGCATAACCTACAGCCCAAATATTCAGCCTTGCTTTATGAACTGAGTTACTTTACAAAACATAAACAGCTGCAGTACCTGAGTTACTGGGAATACACATGGCATCAGCTGTAACAAAGGCTCCCACTATGCAGATGCTGCTCTGCCATACCAGGCCCCCAGTCAAAGCAGTTTTTATCTGCTATAAATATATATATAAGACCTGCTAGTTTTCAGTCAGAGCTTGCATCAACAGAGGGCTGAATATCTGTTGCTCTGTGTTCTTTCCTGCTGCTATAGAAATAAACTGCTTCAACCTGACCTGAATCTGCAAAATAGGCTACATGTGATGCTGCAGGGGTGCTATACTCTGTGTTCCTAAATATTTCTATATTTTGATTTGCTATACAAATGAGGAACAGATATTTATGGTAAATGAGAACAAATATACCTGCAACCAAATTGGGTGTATGGTCATTTCCTACCTGAATACTTGCGATGGTAGTAATTTGTCCTAAGTAAGAGGCAATTTGTATTTTAGGTATTTTATGATCCAAAGACAATGTTCTGTGCACATTCATGCCTAATATTTAACTGCACAAATGTTTATAAATTCTAAAAGTACTAAAATAATCCACAGGTACAATAAGAATATATATGTATATAATAATTGGTTCTTTCATCAACATTTCCTTATTATCATAGAACCATAGAGCAATTTTGGTTGGAAGTGACCTTAAAAGATCATCTAGTTCCAGCCACTCTTTCATGGACAGGGACACCTTCCATTAGACCACATTGTTGAAAGGCCAATCCAGTCCAGCCTTGAACACTTCCCAGTATTGGACATCCACATCTTCTCTGGGCAGTGTGTGCAAGTGTCTCACCCCCACAGAAAAAGATTTCTTCCTTATATCTAATCTAATGCCTACACCCAGTTTAAAGCCATTGCCTCTTGTCCTTTCACTACATGGCCTTGTCCTCTCTAGCTTTCTTGTAGGGTCCCTTTAGGTACTGGAAGGTTGCTATAAGGTCTCCTGGGAGCCTGCTCTTCTCTGTGTTGAACAGCCCCAGCTCTCTCAGTCTCTCTTCAAAGGAGAGATGCTCCATCCCACTGATCATCTTCATGGCCCTCCTCTGTACTTGCTCCAGAAGCTCCATGTCCTTAGGTTGGGGACCCCAGAGCTGGATTCAGTGCTCCAGAGGGAGCCTCAAGAAAGCAGAGTAGAAGGGCAGAATCACCTCTCTCAACCTGCTGTCCATGCTTCTCTTGATGCTGCCCATTTAATTTCCTTACAGGCACAGATGTCACACATCCTTCTCATTGCTGTAACTTTATGGGAAAAACATGCGATGTCATTTTGCAGACATTTCCACAGCTGTTTTGTGAAACATCTGCAAAATACTATACCTAGACAGAGATGTGAAATACTCAAGATATAATTTTGTGCTATACTTTTCTAAAGTAAGGTTTATTCTATATTAGGTCTAGTATTTCCGAAGGCAGTGTGCTCAGGTGGCCAAGAAGGCCAATGGCATCCTGGCCTTGATCAGGAACAGTGTGGTCAGCAGGACCAGGGAGGTGATTCTGCCCCTGGACTCAGCGCTGGTGAGGCCACACCTTGAGTACTGTGTGCAGTTCTGAGCCCCTCAGTTCAGGAAGGATATTGAGGTGCTGGAGCAGGTCCAGAGAAGAGCAGTGAGGCTGGTGAAGGGACTCAAACACAAGGGCTCTGAGAAGAGGCTGAGGGAGCTGGGGTTGTTTAGCCTGGAGAAGAGGAGGCTCAGGGGAGACCTTATCACCCTCTACAACTGCCTGAAAGGAGGTTGTAGCCACATGGGGGTTGGTCTCTTCTCCCAGGCATCTAGCAGTAGGACAAGAGGACATGGAGTCAAGCTCTGCAGGGAAGGCTTAGGTTGGATATCAGGAAGAGTTTTTTACAGAGAGAGTAATCAGGCATTGGAATGGCTGCCCAGGGAGGTGATGGATTCACCATCCCTGGAGGTTTTCGAGATGAGACTGGATGTGGCACTTAGTGCCATGGTCTAGTAACCACGGTAGGGTAGGGTTGGATGATCTTTGAGGTCTCTTCCAACCTGGCTGATTCTATGATTCTATGATTCAGACTAAATATAGACATGAAAATTTAAGATACTATGGAATTGTTAGTAAATATCATAAAAATAATAAAAGGCTTTTTGAGTATATAGGCTTATATAACAAAGCTAGCTTTTAATTCATTATTTTATTTCATTCTGGTCAAGAAATTAGTGGATTACACTTCTTACCAGAAATTAAAGCACAACATCATAATTCTATTCTCAACAAAAATATAGACATGAAAATTTAAGATACTATGGAATTGTTAGTAAATATCATAAAAATAATAAAAGGCTTTTTGAGTATATAGGCTTATATAACAAAGCTAGCTTTTAATTCATTATTTTATTTCATTCTGGTCAAGAAATTAGTGGATTACACTTCTTACCAGAAATTAAAGCACAACATCATAATTCTATTCTCAACAAATAAGAACAAAATATTTTACTAAAATTTCCACAGCTTCCAACTTTTCTTCACAATAAAATGGGGATAATTCCACCTTCCTTTGCTGTTGACAAAGTAGTAATCTAGTCAAAGCTAGTCGTCTAGGGTTTTTTCTATAGAAACGAATTTCTGACAAATTTCTCCATTGGAAGACCATGAATCATCCATAAGATTTTAGACAATGACTTACAGATGGAATACACTGCATACATACACTGTCTTTTATCCTTGATTAAAAAATGTGAAAGAAGAAATATTTGACTTATAAACATTTCTAGGAATATAAAACTATGAGAAATTAATATCACTACGTTTTTGAAAAATTTAAAACTCAGCTTTATTTCTCTAACATTATTATACTTTCCCTTAAATATCAGTAGACTTTCATTGTCTTGGCAGCCTTTCTTGACTGACTTATACACTCCCACATCAATTTTGTATTAGAAATTTATTTTACTATTTTCTCATAAAGCAAATGCAAATTATAACTTTTATAAAGCACAAAATATCCTATAATACCTTTGTTGTTATCCATTCCTCCAACAGCATAAAGTGTCCCAACTGTAGATTTTCTAGGCTTAGTTCTTGGGCTTTGCATGAGAGTTCTTCTCTCTGGTAAAAGATGATATTTCATGGCTTCCAGAATAAGCTTCTGGCACTCTAGGTCATCCTTAAAAAGCGCATGGTTTTCTAGGTCAGCCAATATCTGCAAATAACATGAAAGTGAATCAAAAATTCTAGAAATTCCTAAAAAGGCAACACCATGCAATGAGAGTCTATCACAAAATGCGTGTCATAAGTATATCCCTTCATTGTAGAACACACGGTTTTGCAGGGCTATTTTTCCTGGAGGAAGGACAGAAAAGTAAATAGCTAATTGATTTTTAAAATACATTTAGATCACTGTTTCACCAGCCATAAGATTATAGTCTTACTAATCTCTTACTGAAGGCATTGAAGAAAATGAATGTTCTCTTGTAGACTGACTTATCTTTAATGGTTTCCATTGTTGCACTGCAAGGGCCCAGAAGGCATCTCTTTGGAGGAAGATCCCTCATTTCTAAAACCAAACCAAAACAACCCTACCTCACAACAACCACAAAACAAAACAACAACAACAACAACCACCAAACAAGAACTTGCTTATGCAAGTTTTGAATCTGTTGGTTGTCTGTATTATTGGCAAAATAAGGGACTAATATTCAAGGCAATGTAACTATCTTTACTATCGGCTTAAAAACTACAATCAATAGTTACAAACACAAAGATGCTCCATGCATATAGCTGAAAGAATATTTTATTATCTTTCCAAGAAACAAGTCTGCAAGTTATAAATATTACGTATTTGATTCACTTGCCAGTATGTAGATATCTACCAGGTTTTGAGATGCTGTAAATCACCTTGTAAGTACTCAAGATCCCATTGAACTAATCAACCTGGGCTAACCTCACAGCTGACCCAGCTTTCAGCGAGAGGTTGGATGACAGACCTCCCGAGGTCTACTCCCACCTAAATGATTCTGTTACTCTGTTATGTCACTGATGTCAGACCAGCAGAGTGCAATGCTTACGCAGATTTTCTGCCATATCTGCCAGACCCATGTAGATATCTCAGATACCCTAATCCAAATTCAGTCAAATTCTCAATGTCTATATTTAGGCAATTGAGTACTACATGTAGATGCTGATCCCTATATTCTGCTGCCTATCAAATTAGAGCAGGTTTTAGTTGCATATGGCAGCATATCTGTACAGTGTGATAAATTTCAAGATCACATAGTACATCTATCTGGGAGACAAAATGATTTTTAAAGAAATGGCTAAAGGCCAAAAAGCAGGAAAATTTAGTTCTCAGAGTCTGAGGATATATCTGCCCACAGACCTACATATGAAAACATATGCAAATTGTTTTGCAGATGCCTAAACACAGAAAGCTAGATTTTAAGGACTCTCAGCAATATTATCTGAATTTCAATGGCTGCTGAATGCATGAATATCCTTTGTCAATCTCTCAGCTTTTTGCAGGTAACACATTTTCTGTGACATCTAAAATATTAATAGCTTGCACAGGTAGACAGTTGTGTCCTGCTTCTGATTTTAGGCATCAGTCATGAAATCAATCTATTCAAGTACAAAGAAAGGCAACAGACACTACAGCATCTGAACTGGTGAACCAGAACTCTTATTTTACATGGCTGATGACCTAACAGATAACAGATATGCTTATTAAAGGAAGTGAATAAGGAGGCTCATCTGCTCTACAGAAAACATGTCTCCAAATGTGGCCATATGTCAATGTCTGATGAGCAAACCATAAAATTATTTTTGAATACATAATAATTCCCCAATGTCCAACTTTCAGATTAGAGATGTTCTGAGGTGGAGGTCTTTTCCATGAAGTATGTAATCTCAGAAGTCTTATCTTCCATGAAGTAGCTCAATCTTCCTTTGAACTCATGCATATTTGTTGCATCCACAATATACTCAGCCTATTACTCACTGCACGTGAAGGTTTACCTCCCTCGTTTCAAACCTGGATCCTGTTGCATTGTTTGCATTTGCTCCATTTTTTCATACATTTCTTTCTTTCACTACCCCCTAATTCTTCTGTTGAAAAAGAGAATAATGAATAGCTCATCCCTGACATACCAAGTTTCTTAAAATATTCTAGACTTCTGTCATAATTTCCACTAGTCGACTATTTTCTAGACTGAGACACCTTAGCTTTGTTAATCCTTACTTAGATGAAAGAAAAAGCATATCTTTAATTACCCTTGTTGGCTTTTCCTGAACTTTTTAGATAGATTGATTTTGTTGGATTCTTTTTGTGAAGGGATCAGTACTGCACACACTATTCACCATGAACTTTTGTGGGGGCACAATGATGTGCTATGTATTGTTATCTTTTTCTTTTCTAATAACTTGCAGCTTTTGATTTTGAAGAGGTATTTGAACAATGCCCTTAATAACATCCTTCGGTCAGCCCCAAAGTGGTCAGCCAGTCAGACTAGATGATAGTTGTAGGTCCCTTCCAGCTGAACTATTCTATTCTATTCCCTTTTATTCTATTCTCTTCTATTATTCTTTTCTTTTCTATTCTATATTCTTGCAGAGGGAATAGGTAATACAAAGGAAACCAAGGGTTTGCAAACCATTAGTTTGCACAAGGACTGCATAAATAATTAACTTACAATATTTTCAATGTAGTAATCCTGATAGTCATGTTTCCTTCTTGGATGTGAAAGTAAATGCCCCAATGAATATATGCTGTATCACAAATGTACCATTAAGAAGGCTAAACCAAACATAAAAATTTATAATTTCTTTTGTCACTAAACCTATGGGGTAAACACAATGGTGTTCTATCAGTTAAGACAAAAGAACGTTAAAGGAGCGAAAATATGAAAGCAAATGACAGCCATGTTCCTTGATGATAATGTTTTCAGAAAATATCACTGAATGTGGTCCAGGCTAATAGCTTTATGTAAACGTTTGCAAATAGACTAGGCACCAGCCACAAATGATCCCACAGTCATGAAAGCAAAAATAAATGTAAGAAGGAAAAATACAGTTGAGATACAAAGGGGCTGACAATGTATGTATCAATACATTTTGGAGACTTCAAATATCCTTCAAGACTCCCGAATAGATAACTGTCAATGTGCCAAATCTGGATTGATGTTTCAACAAATGAAGGCATGAGATTGAAGTTTTCCCTCCCAATCAATAATGAATATCTCATATTCTTTCTTTCATTTAGGTATATACGGTATTTGAAAACTGTCATATCAACTTCCTATGTCTGGTGGGAAAAGCACTTTGCACCTCTTACATGGAAAATGAAATATATAAGTCCCTCCAAATATTTGTTCTCCAAAACTTTATCCTTATAAAACTACAGTATCTATCATGTTCATTTTAATAAATGTGCATGATCATTTATTAAGAAACTACAAAAACCTTTTTGAAACTGACTGCAAAACCAAGAAAAATACTGAAACTGGCTAATATGAATTCACTCTCAGATAAATATTACAGAAAAGATATGAAAGTAAATCTGCTGCTCCTTTGAATTTGTCACAACTTCCATTCTGGCTTCTTCCTAGGATATATGTATCTTTAAAGGTAATTTGCTTCTACTGGTCTGTATACTGTAAGGCCACATTCCTTTGACCAGAGAAATTCAGTAAGATGGAGTCAATATCATACACATAATTATCTTATGTTGAAGTCTTACTCTACACTTACCTGTGTCTAAATTTCAGATAATTTTAACAGGAAGAAGTCTCATTTGAAAACCAAGTTCACTAAACTGGCATTAATACTATGGTAAGACTAAAACAATATATACTTCCCTCTATAATATGAGTGCTTTGAGGCTGAAAGCTGAAGGAAAATGGCCAGCTCCCAAAGCCTGCTATTTTCAGTCAAAATAGCAGTCACTTAAAAATTTATCAATAACTGCTTTACAATGTACTGTTCTGTCTTATTTGTGAACTCTGTTCTGATCCAACATAAACAGTCTTTGTGTCTAATTTCATGATTTACAATTTCAAGATTCTATTCCCTCATAGCTAGTGAGTTTTCACACTGACTGTAATGATATTATGCAAAATACAGCATTTGCATATGTCTTTACACTTAATGAGTTAGAGTCAGTACAAGAATAGTAGAATAGCGGGACTTTATTTTTTCAGTATTTCTTGATCTAAATTGAGCATCAAGAAAATTGTCTCTAAGGTTGGAGTCCAATTAGTTTTTTAATTTATTTACCTTCTCTAGCACGTAGAGGAAAACAAAATTCTCAGGAAGCTATTTAAGCTATCATTTTTAACAACTTTCCAAATAGTTCCTTACAATCTTGTCATCCACTATATCAATGGAAGGGCTCCAAAACTTCAGATTATCAAAAAATTCAAAGCAAGTGTTTTGTTTGCTAGCTGTGATAAGGGTTTATCTGTATGTGTGTATGCCTGTTCTGATGTTGGTTATCAAGCAATTAATGTTACTAAGAACATTACAGTATTCATATTATTGAAGAATATTATAAGAAGAATATCAAAGTATGCTAATAAGCAGTGGCATTAAGCATATATCATAACACCAGGTTAAATTTTATTTCATAATGTTAAGATTTTTGACATACTCTTTTTGTGATATTTTTTCCTTTAAAGTGTTCAACATACTGCTCAGTAGACTAAAAATCAGAGCTCTGATGACAAATCATGTTCAGATTTTAGGCAAGTTGATGTCTTCTCTTGCAAAATGATTTAACATACGTTTAGAACTACGGAACCAAATAGTGTACTCTGTCAACATTAACTTGACAGAATACAGGCACAAGAGAGCTAAGAAATCAAATTATCAGTTTTCTCTGCACAAATTTGAGTTAATATTAAGTTGCATGTATTTTCTAATGCTTAATGAAATTAATGAAATTGATGACAAGGGTTTTTACAACGAGTTTATTATATCAGTAAGCACTAAAATCTAACAATAATATTCGTGACTTCTTTTCAGAATGATGCTTCTTTATTCAGGGGTTCCAATCTGTGCCTAGGCTCTTAAAACAAATATTTATCTCCAAGATCCCACAACTGAGTTGCCAGGTACTTCAAATAAAGAAGCAATCATCCATGAAAACTGTTCTGTCCTAAAATTATGAGATTTCATGCACTAAGCCACAAATAAAGGCTGAATCTTTCA